CCCCAAAACCCCAAAACCCCAAAACCCCAAAACCCCTCAAAAATATATGCATGTTGAAACTAAGGCTCATTAGCAAAGATTGGGATTTAGGTATAATGCACTGAAATATTGTTCAAATATCCACTAGCTCCTCCTGCCAGAGCAACTGCTCTCTTTCCTTTAGGAATCACGAGGCTGAAAGTAGTACATTTCGAAGTGTCACATCTTGAGGTGTAGTTTCCGAAAGCATATACTTTTCCTAAAGAAGTCGTGATTATTAGACCATTAATAACTTCCTGATAATTTCCAGTAATCGAAACGATGCATTCACCATACTGCAACTTAAGTGAGTGACACTGACATCTAGTATGGACTTGGTTTCCAAAATGGGCTGGCCCTTTTACGATCTTGTCATCAACTTGGTAAAATCCTTGCATGCCATATATAAAATCTGAGTCATGCATGATCCTAACCTCATACATGTATGCATTTAAGCATTCTTTTATCAAAGTTTCATAGTCATCAAACATGACAGTGTTCGAGTAAACTTTCCCTGCAACATTTGATTTGTAGCATACTATAAAGCATTAGGATAAACTCTTTAAGACTTGTAGCTTATTTGCCTAAGAAATGCGATATTCAAGAGATTGATTTTGGCCTCTAATTTAGTAGTTAATTTAATTTTCTTCAAGTAGATTTAATTTAAAAAATTAGCAAATGTTTGCATTACAACTCTGACACATTTTGATAACCTCTTAAGTAAGGAGATTAAGGGAAATAAGCAATTTTAGAGACTGTTTATTAACTAAAGATAAATCTCACCTAGTCTCACGTTTCTTGCAAGGGTTTGTTGGTTAGCTTGTGAGGGAATTGCAGCTCTCTGACTTGCAACTTCCGAAGTTTGCTCTTCAGAAACTTGGCTGATTACAGGAATAAGCCCTCCGTGCATTTTAGCTGGACCAGCCAGAGAATTTCTAGCAGAGCTTGTAATACTCTAAAGAAGATATTAGACAATAGTTTTGAATGTTAAACTACCATTTCATCATTTAATCTATCAAATTTAGATTCTTCATCTGAATTGTCACCTTCACTCTGGACTTCTCTTTCATTATTAATACTTGGATAAAATAACTTCTCAGGAAGTGTATCTGAAATCTTTCCAGAGTTGAGTTTTCCGCTCTCTACCTTAATTTCAGGAGAAGATACTTCTACATTAGCCTGAGCAGCAATCGATGCAGGCCTCTGAGGACCCTGAGTATTCTGACTCTGTGCTATTGGTGCATTCTGAGAAAGCCTATTCTCAACTGGTGGATACACAGCTCTTTGGTGTACCACCATATTATTGATGTGACAAAAAGGTGCGGTATTACGCCCAAACATGGCAGGGAGGGGCCTAAATTCTGCTTTGATGTAAGTCATATATTCGCTCATTCCAATAGAAAAGTAGACCACGAACTTATCCCCTCCTTGACTTAGCGTAAAAGGCATACCTCCTTTATTAACACCAGTTTTAAAGATATTTCCTTTATTAGTGTAAAAAATAAGCTCATCAATAGCTTCAGTCTGGGACCCAGCAACACAGGTGATAAACTCACTAGATCCAAGACTCACAATCTGACAAGGCGAATTCTTGTAATCCTTGCCTCCTCTGACACCTGCTGAATTCTTTCCATACATAACTTCAAAGCCATTGATATGGTCTTTATGCCAGACCATGATCTGGCTATGTTTCCTCCTAATAGCTCCTTTTTGGATTAACATAGTCTTATCATATATAATAGGTGTGCCTCTGTTCCAATAACCAGCATGCTGGCTTGGGATCACAGATTGATTTCCCATCTTATTTATTATAAAAGATTCTATATTTTTCGTTAATAGGGGTTTTGGGGTTTTGGGGTTTTGGGGTTTTGGGG